GTATAGAGTATATATTACTATATAAATATATAAAATTAATTTAATATATTAATTTAAATATTTTAAGATTAATATATTATTTAGAAATAATTTATTTTTATATTATAATATTCTAGATCTCTTAATATTAAAGATCTCTTTAAGCTTCTAACTCTAGAAGAAGTATTATTTAATAAATTAAAATCTAAAGAATTTAATATTAAAATAGAGATAGATATTAAAGTATATAAACTATAAATTTATATTTTATTTAGTTTAATCTCTATAAATATTATTTAGATCTAAAAGCTTTTAACTATTTAGCTCTTAAGTATAATAACTATAAGATCTAGGGGCCTATTAACTCTAGATTAGGAATTAAGATAATTAGTATTATATTTAATCTTAAGAGCTTTATCCTCTATTTATATACTCTCTTAAAATAAAAAAGAAAATTTAGAATTTCTAACTATAAGAATAATAAGTAACTAAAGCTCTATTTATATCTAATTATTTAGTTCTTCTTAAATCCCTAATATAAGTAATTTACTATAAAATATAAATAGATTATATTCTAATAGTTTAGGGTCTAAATATAATAAAGGTAATATTAAGAAGATAGATATATAGATACTAAGAAGAAGCTAATATATAAGATATACCCCTTCTAGATTATAAAATTATAAAATTAGTTAATATTAGTATTAATTAGTATAATTATATAAATATAAATATTATTATTTATTATTAATATAATTTTATCCTTATAGGTATAAATAGATAATCCTAAAATAGAAATATAGTAATTTAGATATCTATATTTATCTATATATTAAATTAGATATTAATTAGATATCCTTTTATACCTGATATTTATTTATTACTAAATAGATTACCTAGAATTACCTATAGTACCCTTCAGGTAAAACCTATTTAGGTACCCAACGGGTTTGGCGATATCTAGCCTGGTCGAAGAAGGCGAAGCAGTTCATACACCCCTGGGAACCTGAAGCGGCCTCGAACGCCTGTAGCAGCAGGTCGGCGAGGCGCTGCGACGTGTGCGTGTTGCCGCATGCCACGGCTGCCCCCGGCGACGGGTTCAAGAAGGTGCCCTCAGGGATGACGACGTCGACGGCGCTCAGGCAGCCCTGGTTGAGCGGAATGTCGGTGCCGATCAGCAGGCGCAACATGTAGATGATGGCGGAGTACGTGATGGCGGGGGGTGCGTTCATGTTGCCGTGCATCTGCGGCGAGGTGCCTGTGAAGTCGAACACGGCTCCCCCGTCACCGTCAATGGTGATCTCCACCGTCATAGTCGCCCCGTTGTCCATGCCGTCGGTAGCTCGCAATGGTTACGCGCCGCGCCGCAGCCGCGTCTCCTTGAGGAACGTCCTCACGGCCAGCTCGGCATTCTTCTGTATCTTGTCCATATAAAAGTGCACTGTAGGCGTGCCGTACTCGCCCATAAGAGCCACGATCAGCTGACAGCCCTTTGTGTTGGCGGCGATTTGGGCCTTGAGATCTGACAGGTTCTCGGGCAGCTTGCGGGAGGGGGTCACCCGGGGAAATTGTCCGGGATCAGTGAGCAGCTTGACGATGCCCTCCTCGTCGAACTTGCCATCTCGCACCAAGAAGAAGGACTCAATCATCGCACCCTCTTGCCACAGGTGAACCGAGTTGGGGGGCATGGACGTGCCGTCGAGGCCGCCAATGTCCGTGTGATGTCCCCTAGAGGCTGTGTAAAAGCAGATGGTTTTACCATCCACCTCAAACACGGGGCTGATGACGGTTATGTCCGGCAAATGCGTCCCGCCCGCCGCTGGATGGTTGCTCACGAGGACATCTCCAGGTCTCAGGTTCCCTTTGTGCAACTGGTGCTGGTATTTGACGGCATAGCTCATACTGCCGAGATGTACGGGAACATCTAGAAACAAGTGACTCATCTATCAGCTATGTACAGGTGCGCCTTGGGGGGAAGGGGGATAGTGGACTTACGAGGCGCGTTGGCAACGAGATCACCTTCAGGACCAAAGATAGCACACGAAAAGTCCAACCGCTCCTTGATATTGAGAGAAATGCTCGTCTTCTGATAGGAGCGTCAAGCCCATCTGTTCCGCGATGCTCATAAATCGATGTGAGAAGACACTTAGCTTGACTGGGTCGACGACGTCAATCCCATCACCGCCGAGGTTCTTGGATCTAGCTTCTGGCATCTCAATCACAATGTGAGAAGACAGAACCTTTGCAATGGATCCCGGTATCAAGACAATGGTCTGCGTGCTGTCCACAATTGTGCAGGGACCAGGAATAACGGTTCCGGGCTTGATACCCTCCAAGCTGATAATTTGGGCGTCAACTGGGTCCGGGGAAAAGTATACACGGCTCTTCATAAGGTTGTTAGCTCTCTAAGGTTTCTTCCAGTACAACCATTCTCTCGACTTACCCTTTCCGTCTGAGCAGGGGCTTCATTGCCGGAGGAAACCTGAGCCAACTCTTTGAGAAGCTCAGTGGCGTCTGCATTAACAGTCTCGCTCGTGCCGATGGCTCGAACGCGGATGTCGTCGACCAGCACCCTATGGTCCGAGGGAAAGGCGAATGAAAGCTCCCTCAGGTGTGTCTCCTCGAGTTTGGTCCGCCAATCAATACCCTGAACTTGCTGAATCATAAAGTTGGTGTTGGTGCCGTCGTACCTGAGGTTGAGATACGACTCGTACACCGTTGACTTTTCTGGGATGCCCTGCACCGCCAGCCCCTCTCTTGCCTTTTGCTTCAGGACCTCGATCCTTGCTTGCAGCTTTGGGAGCGAGCCGGCATCGAGTACTTCGCTGCTAGGCTCCTGAGCTTCCTGGACCACCTCGGCCAGAGCCATACCGTAAGCCGACAGGATACTCGAATACTTGTGGATGATGATGCGCTTGATACCGAGTTTAGAGGCGATGTCACAGGCGTGTTGACCGCCCGCCCCCCCAAATACAGCGAGGTGATGCTGACCCGTGTCGAAGCCGCGAGCCTCGGTGATGGCGCGGATGGGCCGACACATGGCCTCATTTGCCACGTCGAGGAAGCCTAGAGCAATCTCGTAGGTTGTCATGGACCTGCCACTCTCGGCATTGATGACAGCGGCCAGTTCCTCAAATTTCTTGGCCACAATCTCGGTATCTAATGGTAGGTTCTCATCCGGGCCAAAGATGGATGGGAAGAATGACGGCAGGATACGTCCCAGATAGACATTCGCGTCCGTCACGGTAAGAGGCCCTCCCTTTCGGTACGCTGCCGGCCCAGGATGAGCACCCGCGCTCTATTTCTGTCAGCACCTAGAGAATCTGCCATGTTGGGCCTCGCGAGTAGGACTTACCTCTGGCCCGACTTTGAAGAGGCCGTTTGACCAAAAGAGCATACTGCCGCCGCCAGCAGCGACCGTGTTGATATCTAGTTGCGGACTCTGGATGGACACTCCTGCCGTCTTGGTTTCAAAGACGTGCTCAAAGGTTCCGCCATAGCGACTGACGTCCGTTGACGTTCCGCCCATATCAAAGCCGATCAGCGGGGTGCTGCCGTCGTACGACGTCCTCGCATATCCAACAACACCACCTAGGCACATGTTAGTTAAGTGCCCCGCCGTCCCTACAAGACCAGGGAGGCTCCAAATGACTTACCAGCTGGGCCACTGAGGATACCGCCGAGACCAGTAAACTTATCGTAGCTAGTAAGGCCGCCATCGCTCTGCATAAACTCACAGATGACGCCGTCGAGGTTGTTGTTCTCGAATCTCTTGACGAACCCGCCGATATACTCCTTGATTTTCGGTGTCAGATAGGCGTCGGCGGTGGAGGAGCTACCTCGAGGTATCATTTTGATCATGCCTCGCCCAACTACTGACGAGACTGATACGTGTTGGAACCCCATCTCCGTGGCGATGCTGGCGATTCGAAGCTCGTGGTCGGGGTACAGATATGAATGTTTGAGACAAATGGCCAATGTATCGATCCCATTGCCCAGGATAGTAGACAGCTTCTCGCGAACCTCGGATTCGTCCAGGGGCTTCACAATCCGTAAAAGATCGCCAGTGACGGCGCGCACCAACTCGCCGGATCCGTCGTCGAGACCAAATCGAGCATCTTGCCTGAAGCCTTCGAATACGACACGCTCGGATATCTCGCAGACCTGATCGTACAGCAGCTCTGGCTTGCGGATCCCAAGAGCAAACAAGCTTGGGCGTGTTTGGTAGCCGATGTCCAAGAGATCTCGGAATCCTTCGGATACTACAAAGGCATGACGTGTACCTTTGCGTTCCAGAAGCGCTGTGGGAAAGCTCTCTGTCAGTCAAGTCTAGCCCAAGGGCGGGGGTGCATAGAGAAGGCGGGCCAGAGGGAAATCCATGGTGTGCGCACCGTTGGTCGCTACTGTTGTTCCCATGCGAATCGAGTAGATGAGTTCCTTGGGTAGTAGCTTTGATCTGGGTAGAGTCTCTCCCGTCGCTAGTTCTAGAACGCGGCGGATGCCTACAGCCGGAGACCATAATCAGCTATCAAACCAAGTTAAAGGAGGAGACTGGGACGCAGAGTAGATAAAGCCCTACCCTCGGAAGGCGCATCGTCATAGGTGTCCGGGTTCACAGAGAGGAGCTTCAGAATCACATCTGGCTTCCCTGGAATCTTGGCCCAAACATCAGTAAAAGTACCACCACGGTCGATGGCGATCTCGATGCTTTTAGGCTTCACAGACATGCTTGCTATATATAAAGCAGCGGCACTTGTGTTGGTGTTGATGTCTGTACTGATGCTGGAGAGTAATCGAAGGCATCAAGTCTGTGACACAATGTTACCTACTACTTTATGAGAGGATGTGTTATGAATGCCGGCTACCTGTGTGGCTTTTATTGTCGCAAGGCCAGGTCAGGCCAACGCCAACCGTTCTAACCTTGTCATAGAGTTGAAACGCGGCCTACGGACTCTTTGCAGGATCGGTGCGGTTCTCGGAGCCTAGGACCAGCACACAGTGACAGAGGGGCATTCATTTTGGCTGATCCGAAACTACCTGGAGCAGTTGTATCGGGCAGTGAATGCCCAGTTCGGACTTACCCGATGACTGGGTTAAAGAAGCATGGGGGTCAGTGATCATCGGGGAAATGCGACGCAGAAACTCGACACCTCCACTCGTTATCATTTCCAGGATAACCTGTTCCGGGCGCCAATCCCAGCTCTATTGCACTATCAGTAGAAGCTTTCTTCTTCCCACGCCCCGTTTTCGTATCTCAGCGACACCGCCAAATCCGGGGTTGCGGGGCCATGATTTGGTTTCTCATTATACTGGCTCCCAGATGTCCCACACTGACCGTGGGGGGCTTCGGAATGGTCAAGGAATATGCATGAAAGCCACTTATCTACGGTCATCAATGTTAGTGAGCTAGGCTAGGGAACATAATGGTCTGTCTCACATTGGTAGTTATTTATCCGGACGTCCTCAGTTCCATGAGACAACCCCGAACCCTAATAATACTCCTGTGTTCAAGTAGTACTACCCAGTGATCAACAACTAGGAGAATGAACCTATATCATACGAATAAACCTCAAATTAACGGTTTGGTCGATAAAATCATGTCATAATACTTAGGTAGTAACATCTTCTGGCTCAAGGGTAAGTACTGGTTAGTGGGAGAAAACCGGCCAGGATTATATCTTCACCCTTGCTTGCATTGCTCCATTTAGCCAATCCAATTCATCCTAGAGATTGGTTTAATCAGGTGGGAGGGTTGCTTAGATCGAGTGGTGATCACTGCCTACTACGAATCCATGCGTAAAGAGACACAAGATATATGCAGCAGGTCTGATTTACTCGTTTTGAAGATACATCTCTAATGATCCTGATACTTGTACCTTACTAGGAAACATTACCCTGGTTCAAATACTTTGTGGCTAGGAGAAACTCGTCTGTCTCCACCAAAATGGAAGCATTAGCGATCTAGACTCTACTTAAGAATGCCCCGAGTTAACTTGCCTACAGCTAATGATCTCTCTAAATTTTGTCTTCAAAGTGTTGTAGAAGCACCACAATTATTCATTGCGTTGGGGCGTAGGTCATAGTATCCTCCATTGCTGTTTTTTACATGGTACTCAAAGTAGAAGTACCTGAAGAAGAACGGGCTGCCTGCCATCTCGACTTTTTCGCTCAAATCCGATGGCCTCCACTACCATCGGGCGAGCCCGAAATGTACCGATTAATCGCCTATCTACACTTTCGTTCATGACTCTCCTCCCAGCTCTTCTTGCCCCACGGGGCTATCATGGGTCACTCCAGCCTGGCAAGCAACAGCTTGGCAAACAGCCATCACTTTGTGACATAAGTAATGAGCTCCTGCCATTGATTCTAAACAGGCCCTAGAAATCTTGATCTCGACTCCTATAGACCCTTCCGTCGACCTGAATGAAAAAGAGTATCGAGGCAAAAGCCAACGGTAGATAGTCAATTACCCATGGCCGCCAACCCCAATATGCAGGTGGAGCAAGTAGAGCCCGCCATCGAGCGTCAGCTCACTGATGTCGACGGGAAAAACAACAAGGTCGTACAAATTGGCCAGCTTCGAGTTATGGGGCTCAGCAGCGAGGATGAGGATTTCTATGTTAACTTTCCCGTCAAGGACCGAGCCGCGCTCGTTCGTAAGGTACACACGCCTGAGACACACGTCAAAGTTGAAGAGTCCCATGAACTGACTTGAGTAAAACTCTAGATTGACTTGCGTCTGACCCCGATGCTAGCCATGTTATATCTCCTCTCCCACTTGGACCGTGCCAACATCGGAAATGCAAACATTGAGGGACTTTCGAAAGATCTTGATTTGACTGGAGTCCAATACAACACTGCGCTCGGTATCCTGTTTGTCACATACATCACGTTCGGTAAGTGGCTTTCTTCCAATGTCTTCAGTGTGTGGTGCTCCTAAACCAGGCGTCTCTAATATTCTTCCGAAGAGGTTCCAAGCAACATGATCCTAAAGCGATTCACAAAGCCTTCACAGTACATGGCCTTCATCGTCATTTCTTGGGGGATGGTCATGACTTTTACGGGTGTTGTTCAGAACTACGCAGGGCTCGTGGTGTGCCGACTTTTACTAGGTTTGTTTGAGTACGTGCCCCTCCCCTTCATCCACACGCTCCTTGATCGGCGGCAGCTACTAAAACTTGATCCCACAGAGCCGGATTCTTTCCCGCCGCCGTATATATCCTGACGCAATGGTACATGCCTCAAGAGCTAGCCACACGCCTCTCCTATATGTATCTCACCAGTGCCGTTGCCGGAGCCTTCTCTGGACTGCTGGCTGCAGGTATTGCAGAGATGGACGGCATCGGTGGCTATGAAGGTTGGCGCTGGATCTTCATATTGGAGGGTCTCGCGACAGTGGTCCTGGGGGTGGCGACCTGGTTCTGGCTGGCTGACTCCCCTGTATTGTCGAAGTGGCTTACGCGCGAGGAGAAGAGATATCTCGAGGTGCAGCACTTCATCAAAGACGGAGGGCTGTACAGCACCCAGCAGCGCAAAAACGACTGGAAGGTCTTCCTATCCATCTTGACCGATTGGAAAATTTACGGCGTCTCTGCCTTGCTCTTTGTCAACATTGCAGCGGGCTACGGTACGTCAACAGGCCTCCGTTCTATTCCTTCTCTTGTCGTCCTGTTTGTTTCCTGGCCACTTTCTAACTCGGATATTCTCCGCTAGGTGTTAAACTCACCATGCCTGCCATCATCAAGGGCATGGGCTTCCAGAACCGCGCCGCTCAACTCATGACCGCGCCGCCCTACGCCCTCGGCGCCATCTCGACCGTCATATCCTCAAAGATATCAGACCGATTCTATAGACGCATGCCATTCGTCGTCATCCCATGGACCATATTCATCATTGGCTACGCCATCATCATGAGCTACGGCGCCAACACGGCCAAGAACGTAGGGCCCTGCTACTTCGGCGTCTTCCTCATCTGCATCGGCCTGTTCCCGGTGAACCCGGCCATCACATCCTGGGCCGCCAACAACATCACGCCCGCAAGCAAGCGGGCCGTTGGCGTCGCTTTCTTCAACTGTGTCGGGAACATTGGCGGCATCCTGGGCAGCTTCATGTTCCTCGAGAAGGAGGCCCCCGCCTACCCGACAGGCTACGGTACGTCCATCGGCGTGCTGGCAGCCGGGATCCTCATTGCTATTGGCCTGGAAGCTGCCTTTATCATCTTGAACAAGAGGAGGGACCGAGTTCCGGAGGAGGAGGTGCGAGCCAAGTATACGGAGCAGCAGCTATCGGACATGGGCGACAAGTCTCCGCTATACCGCTACACCCTTTAAACCGTTTCATGACGGCTACGGGGCTTAGATGTGGCAAAAGTTATACTGATTTATCTGGAAAGCAAGGTATAACAGAGATGTCAATAAATTAATTATAGCCTAATATCTATTCGTAGTGTCGATTTATTTCAAGGCCAACATATATTCTGACATAGAAGCAACAGAGTCCACATCACCCGGTTTGTAGAAGGCTTCGAATCAGCGTGCAGACCATAGCCGCTGAGTATCTGGCGAGGCAGCGTGAGATCTGCATTCAATGGCCATGTTTGACGAGGGGGTTGCTATCCATCGTTAGTCATAGATTCGCCAAATTGGAGGCTGCTCTCATCCAACTCTCTCCAAAGCACTGTCCTGTCATCTTCGCCCGAGAGAATCGGCCACCCCAATCCCTGACACGCACCCTGGCCGACAACCCATAGATCCTCCGGCAGCAACGAGTATATCCCCTCCATGAAGTCGTCTGTATGGCCTGGCTGCGGTGGCGGCCAAAAGGCATCCTGCTGATGGGTACCGGAGTCTGCGCTGATAGGCCACGCGGGAACCCGATCCTGGGACGCGAACAACCTCCGTACTGTAGCAGCCACCATGGACTCGATAGCGTCACGACATCCTGCTGCTTTTGGGTACCTCTCCGCCACTGCCGCGAGGCTGGAAGCACAGATTTGGCCGATGTTGACAATCCTCTCGGGGCAAGCGATTTTCTCAGCTCGTTCGAGTTCCAGACCGAGTAGGTGAGCAACAAGCCGGCCACGAAGAGGTGATGAGCCCAAACCCAAATCATGCCTACATGGCCTTCTCTCAACAGGGACTGTGTGCACTCTATAAGCTTGGTGGACGCCTCGAAGCAAATGCTGAGGGATGCAGGCGATGGCTTCGGAACTCGAGGGGTCGGTCTGTGGAGTAGCAGCAGTGCATGGTTGTAGGTTGCCTCCCACCAGCTTGAACACGCATAGATGCTCTCCGGGTGCGCTTCCTGCGTCGGAGGGATATCGACATGCCACTGCTCCAGCCGCGGCTTGATGTCCTCCATCCACACATGATAATCGGGCTGCGGGAAGGCAACAGAAACCGTGTGCTGCTGGCGATAGAGCACGTGCTTGGTCTCGGCCTCGAGTCTGGCAAGGCGCACGATGTGGTTCGCCACGCGCTGGGCATGCCGCTCCTCAGGCGATGGATGCACAGGAGGCAGGTCTGGGTAGCCAGCACCCAGGCTCTGCTCCTCGATACCGAGGGGCCTGCCGATTGTGACGACGAGCAGCCTATCAAAGTAGTAGGCTGCCCAGAAAAGCCGGCGACGCTCATTGAGCTGGGCTTGTGTTATCCTCAGCACAAGGTTCGTTTCCCAATGGAAACCCAGCTCAATGCAGGCTCGTATTGCAAGACCCGATAGGGTCCAGAGATTGCCTTTGGAGGGCGATAGTGAGACATACTGTGCCAGCAGCAAGATATCTGTGAGTGTCTTTGTGTCGTTGGCAGCGGTGCCGATGGTCGAGTCCAGACACTGGACGGCGGAGTGGAAGAATGACTCACTCCGATCAGACGCCCCTCTTCCGACTTGGCCCTTCAGCCCGCAGCAACTGATAGCAAATATCATCAAGGTTATAAAGACATCTCTGCTCTTGCGTTGGGCCACTGTCGCGGCTTCGTTGTCGTGGGCCTGATAAGCATTTTGTACGCATCTGAGGATGTCTGCCCGCTCCATCAGAGGCAAATGTGGTGTTCGACATTGGAAGTAAATGTCGATGAGATAGGTGGCGGATTCTTTTGATGGCAGCGGCGGTGATGATCTAGGAAGAAGCACGTTCATGTTTGGTTCTTGCGAAGAACGTACCGACGGGGATACGGGCATGTTGCACTCGAGTGATCCCAATATCGCCTTGGCCAAGGTCACTCCGCTAGAGGTTCCGACGAATCTCGGCTCGTCAGAAGGATCTAGAACGGCCAGCGCAAGGGACGTGTAGAGCTCGGAGCCAGTCTCATGGTCGGATTGCGGAGTAGTAGATGATGCTTGCTCCGAGGAGGATGCCTCATTGTTTGGCGCAGCACAAGGTCGCGAGCCAAGAAGCTGCACCTCGGCTTTCAGGCGCTCGATCTGGGCCTCCAAGCTCTCGACGTAGTCGCGGGGGATTTCACGCTGCTTGCCCAAGTCATAGCTTAGGCACTCAGTCCCTGCCGCCTCGCAATTGGAGCATTGCGGGTATCTGAGGTCGCACTGGGGCTCGAGTGTCAGCGCCAATGGGAGTGTCCCGGCAGCGAGTGTTTCCATTTCACCTACATACCTTTTGCTTTCTCCTCCTACATCGCTGGCAAGCAGAGGCGCTCCTGTTGAGACGCAAGGCTTGTCGGGCTGAGTTCAAAGGCATCACTCGTGGACTCCCATATGCGACACATGATACATCATGTGCTACATTGGAACCAGTCATGGGGAATCTTATCTGCAGGATCAAAGGTCCGTCCCCTCATCCCGGCTTAGCCGTCACGTGCCAACGACCTCTACCAACAAGGAACAAGTTGTTAAACCCGGCTCTAGCTACCCTGGCCAATCCTTCCTGGCTGACTCTCTTGCTTCCTCAATGAGCAAAAATTTGTTGTACGTCACAACCTTATTCTATCCTCTTAAGCTAAGGTATTGATATATTTACTACTACCACTACTACTACTACCACTACTACTACTACCACTACTACTACTACCACTACTACTACTACCACTACTACTATAACTTAATAATAACCCCGAAAGACTCGTTGCCCATAACGCAGAATTACCTGTGGCAAACTAAACTAAACGAAATTTTTCAAGATATTGCTACAGGATAATATCCTCCCGCCAGTATATATAGGAGAATACGAATAATAAACTTTAATAATAATAAAGCTACCAGGGCTCAGAATAACTTAATATAATAAATACAAAAAGCTTAAAAATATAGCCTTTCCTCGTATACCTAAGGAGTTATATAGTTAGAAAACTCTAATTATTATACGAATAACTCACTTACTATCAGGATAGTAGCTTATCGAATAACTATTAATATAATCTCTTTTACCTAGCTTCTTATCTTATACTGATCTAACTATATTAATATACTAATCCAAGTACTTCAGTATACTAAGCTCAAAGCAAATAACCCAGTAAGTACTATAAGCCTATTAACTAGAGTACTTATACTAATATATTTATAGCCTTTAAATATACTGAAGAATAATTTCCTAGTACCTTCTATTAAAGATAGAAAAGTACTTTAGACTTATATAATAAAGCTAAAAATCCCTATTAGTATATTAAAGCTTATAGGATAGGTAAAGATAGTTCTACTAGAGTAGCTAGATAAAGCTATTTAATCTAATTAGTCTAATTAATCTAAATCTGATTATTCTAATAATTCTGATAAACCTTATATAAGGAAGTTTAAAAAACTTAAACCAGGAGAATAGTTAGAATAGCTAGCTAATCTATCTACTAAGTAAGTCTTAGTATTATTTAACTTTAGCTAAGATATTCTTAGTTATCTATATAAAGAGGAGCTAGATCCAGATACTATTATAGAGTTAAAGAGTAAGGGACTAAAATAGTAGGTATTCCTAGTACCTAAGGCTAGGTTACTATAGTTATCTGTAGCTATCGAAAGGAATAAGTAGTCTGTACAGAGAAAGGGTTCCAGGAGATAGTATTAATAGAAATGCTTTGAAGCTTTTGAAATACAGTGGAAGCCTCCCGCCAGTAATCACAGAAAGTTTTCAATTGTAATATTGATAGGGTGGCTTCTTTCTTCCGAGGCGATTTGCAATGCGAATGCATGGCTATATTTGTAGAAGCGAGTGCTTTCAGCTTGAAACCGGGTTAGCAGTGCGTAATATTTCTCGACGTAGTGTTCGATAGCTATATAGTTTTAATCATCTTCAAAAAGCGAGAGAGGGGTGGCCAGGCAAGCCGATGACGATTCCCTGAACCAACCGCTTACATGGTGGTGTTGTGCAAGTTGGTAAAGGGGGACGAGCCTTGAGACAAGTCCGACAATTCTCGGCTTTGTCTCAAGAAGACAGTCTCAGCAATGTCTAGGATCGGAAGATTACGTACATTCCGCCACCCTCCAATTTGCTGTGCCGCTGGATTAACTGGACACTTTAGCACACGGCTATGTTGAGGGCTTCAGATGGCGAGTATCAATGAGTCCCAATGGCCTCTTAAGTCCAGTGGCTTATGGGATTGGTATGACCAAAGGCCAGTTGTATTTCCTCTATATGTAATCAAATCAGCAGACCAGCCGCGAAACTTGGTGTCCGAGTCGGAACATGAGACATTGGCTTGGCATAAGACACATCCTATGATGCCCACATGCTCTAGTCTGGAATCCGCACTGAAATGACGGACAAATGCCTCTTTATAAGGGCAGCCTTGCCCTCCACGGGCTGCAGGTTCAAGGCCAACTCAACCCTTTGATCCACTAACTCGAAGCAAAATGAGAGCACCTCTCCTCCATTTCTATGCAGTTTTTGCATTTTCTTTCCTGCCATTTGTTTCGGCCACTCAGCCTCGCTCGGCAGATGCCGGACAAGTGATACTGGGTGACATCGACGAAATCTACAATCTCACACAGCAGGCCATGGACTTCCTGACCTATGGTCTCGATCGCTTTCGCGCCAATGGGGTGAGTTATTTGCTATGGGGTACTGGCGTAATAATTAACCACTTGCCTAGGACTGCGTCAAAACGCTCATTGATTTGGGAAAGAAGGTCGTGCAGATCAACAAGACCAAACCCCCGGTCGCGCCCCTCAATGACAATGACCAGAAGAAAGTCTGCGATGCCTTCAGTGGCCGGGTAAGCTGAGACAGACGGCTTCGCATCATCTACTTGATATGCTAATGCGCTTCCCACTATGACAGCGATATACCATTCACCAGGGCAGGCTTATGAGCACCCTCCAAGATGGGATATACCAAGGAACAAAGGCCAGCTTTGCCGGCTATTATGGTGCTCTGGTTCGAAGATTCATCCCAATATTCTCGGAGTTTGAGGATTGGGTCATCAAGACTATTCCCAACTGTGGGGTCAGAGCTTTGAGTGACAAAGCCGTGCTTCTTGCTTTTCGGACGGAGGCTGCGGCCACTATTGAACTGAGTCGAGGTTACAACAAGGCGCAGGGAGACCAGATTCCCGATTTTGGCTGAGGTAGAGAATGTTGGAGGAAAGGTGCTTTGCCTCCTGATAAGTGTTCCCTCAACACTGACCCATTATGAGATTTGGACACCCGATAGATACTACATTACGGATCTCACATTATCTGAACTCGAAGAATGCCGTTATATTCGCTCCGGTATGTGGGCAGGTACAGGACCATCAGTTAGAGCTTGCACAATCGCAATCACATTGTTCATCAATGTTATTATTATTTATCTTTTACAATTAAGACCTATCAAAGTAAAATCAGCCATAGCATTGGCAACAAAGTATGAAGTGTATATTATGGTGGCTGTATTAGCATTAATTTCTCTAACAAATGAAGTGTATCTCTGGGTTTTTATTATTGTAAAGGAAATATTACTATATCGGATAATCGTTATAGGCCAGGCGTAATATATTACGTGTATATGGTAAACATGTCTCACATTACGTAGGTCTTATATTGCCAGCTGAAAAGAACACCAACACCCACCAAGAAACCTGAACCCTCTCTGACTTGCCTCACCCAACTACCAAAGCCAGACTGTCTGACGCCATGGACGACATCGCCAAAGTGGCTCGTGCCGGGGTCTACAGCACTTTCTGGCTCGGCCGATTTGCCAAGCGATACTACAACAATGCCGTGAATGGCACATGTCTTCTTTGCAACAATCTCAAGCCGGATGGCCATGAGAACACCACCATTTGGAGGCCTGAGGGAGACAATAAACCGACTACTAGTTTACCTGGAGGCGGTAACATCAGGCCGCCAGCGTCCGGCGGGGGTATCCTCGCCCTGACGCTAAAGGATCTGTCTACTACAAAATTGCTCCAATGTCGGGATATTGACCCCAAGACTGGTGCTCCCGCGAGGGATTGCCCATACTGCCGGCTCCTCTGCGAAATATTTGATCACTTCTTCATCGACGAGTGGATGAACTGGGTCTCGGAAACCCGGAATGGTATGCCGATTAGCTTCGGCTTAATGATTCGGCAAGGCGCTCCTCTTGTTATAACAACTATCGGGTTCGTCTATGACAAGTATTTGAAGGTTGCCCGCGCAGATGTCGAGTTGTATATCGACGACTCTCCGCCTACGCAGGTCATACCAGTCCTTCCAACAGTTAGCCCGGCCGGTATCAGACAAACAGATACTCGATCTCAAGCCTGCATGTCGTTCGTCAAAGACAGCGTTGAACAATGTGATCGGGAGCATCCACTTTGTCGCAACGAAGCTCAGAACTTCAACCCTACGCGATTACTCCATCTTGACGACAAAGACCCTCATCTACATCTCTGTGAAACCGCCAAATTAGAGCAGCCTGTTCGCTATGCGGCCTTTAGCCACTGTTGGGGTGGAAGTGATCCGGTAAAGCTGACACGTGCAACCTTGGAAGGGTTCAAGAAGCGCATGGACTTTTCTGTATTGCCAAATACATTCAAAGATGCAATATCTGTTGCAAAGGAGTTGGGGATTCCCTACGTCTGGATCGACTCTCTCTGCATCATCCAAGGAGATGAAGCGGACTGGGAGAAAGAGGCAGCTCGTATGGGACAGGTCTATAGCAACGCATACATTGTCATCACCGCCGCCTCCTCCCCGAACCCCGAGACGGCCATTCTTGGGCCCCGAGAACCGGAGTGGCTTCCCAAAACTTTTGACTTGCCGCTCACTCCTGATGTCAATGTCCCCGTCGTTGCGCGAAAGCGCCATATCCTAGCCGCCCCCATGGAGCAAGGACTATGCGAGCCACCATTTGCCAATACAGGGACAGACCTCAAGCGCATTGGGCCTCTATACAATCGCGGATGGTGCTTCCAGGAAGCTTATCTCGCATGCCGCAACCTTCAATTCACCCCAGGCGCGATTGTGTTTGAATGCAAGACTCACCGCAGGAGCGAGGACCAGCTCCCGCCTTATCCTTCCACCATCCCAAGTGCTCGAGAGTCTGTGGACCCTACCGAGCAGTGGCGTAGGATCATAAAGTCCTTTACCTCGCGCCAGTTGACCTTTGGCAGTGACAAGCTGCCCGCCATAGGGGGAGCAGCTAGGACTATGCCCCAGGCGCAAACGACGCAGTACGTAGCAGGTCTGTGGCATTCAACACTTCTCTTTGATCTGATGTGGCATGTGATGCCATACATGATATTGGCTGGCCAGGATCGTCAGGCGCTTTCCTACGACGATGACGACGGAGGTCCGCCCACGTGGTCCTGGGCCTCCATGAACTGGGCTGTGGTTTGGTCGCAGTTCCCCAGAACACAGTTAGTAGCTGAGTTATTGGACGTTCAGGTCGCCGGCAGTCATCTAGACCCGTATGGCAAGGTATCAGGCGGCCTACTCACACTGCGCGGCCGGCTGAAACGGTGCGAGTTGAGGTCAAACGGCGCCCTCACACACGATGCCTTCTACATACAGGCTGACGGGACAAAGAGCGACCTGCAGCATTACCGCACCGATGGGCCATTATCGTTTGAACATGAAGCTGGCCCGTACGGCGCCCGAGTGAGAAGGGGTCGCCAGGGACCGTACTCGAGCAACTTGGAGACTACAGCTGTTGTTTTTTTCATAAATAGCCACACGCTCTTGTCAAATGGCATGTGGAAACAATATCAAGGTCTAGTACTGGGCACCTCGCCACGCTCACCAGGTTGCTTGGAGCGTGTCGGTTTAATTTGGAGGCTGCCGGCGCATTGGTATGATACTGCTGAAGAGGGAACAGTTCAAATAGTTTAAGACAGGGGCTCTAGAATATGAATCTATAATCATAAAACTGGGAGAGAAATAGAAAAGGCCCCATGGATGCTGCGATCCTGCGCAAGTGGACATTGCACCTCGTCGTCGAATTTCTCTATCATAGCCGAACGGTGAGCTCTGGATCAACTATGGCAAGTATCTCATTCGCTTTGTGCAAATTTGGAGAGAAACCCAGATCGATCTCAGGTGGTCTAGATTTGATGCACCATGTAGGGCGGATATATTGGCGGCAAAGCTCGGCAGAGTACAGTTCTCTTACAGAAAGATGAGTTACACCTGTCAGAGGTCGCCAACTCAAGCGGCACACTGAACCTGACCGAAGGCCTAGACAGCGGTTGGGTCCCTGTAATGTGCAATTTTTGCTTTATTACCTTCGGTGATGATTGCTGCTGAGGGGCCGCTTTCTTCATTCACACTCGGGGATATTTTGTCGCTGTGAGTATCTGCAACATCAAATTCTTTAACTGCAAGCCAGGTTGGATAGACGGAAATGCCTATAATTCATTGTTAGCCCTCTGTTTCTCAAGTAAGATTATATCGAAATTCGATTTGGCGCACCTAGAAGGATCGTGTTCACGGCTAGAGGAACTCGCCCGCCTTTCCACTCCTGTGAATTGAGCCCATAGCTCACAGCTTGCGCAAAGCTCTCCTGACCTCGCAGAATACCAGAGAATCGACTCAACTCAGAGATGTTGTCCGTCTTCAGTGCTAGGAAGTAATAGAGCCAATTCTGGAGTGCTTGACGTGCAAAGTCCCAAAGAAGGAGGACAAAGAAACCTTCGACGAACCCGGCATCCTCCCAGTCCCAGGCTGGTTGCGTCCTCGTGTATTTTTCCTGAATGACCCATCCGTAGACCCAGGCGACGACGTGGCACACTACCACATAATAAAACGCATATGTGACACGCTTCCTGACGGTCACTCGCTTGTAGTCAAGCCATGTGCTGATCAGTTGTGACGAGAGGAGAGTGCCAAAGTTGCTCACAAAGCCTATAAGGGCCCGAGCGCGAACACCAAAATAATAAGTTTGGAAGTTTCCAGAGTACTGATTAAAGTAGGCTGCCCAGAATATTGGCAGCAGGAGCAAAATGTCTCTCCTGTTGCTCGCCCTCCAGAGCGCTTTGAATTCGGCTCTGAAGCTGCTCTCTGCTTTGATAATGATCTTGGATCCGTCTGCTCGTTGGACCTTTTCAGGCGGCGAGAGAAGGAGGGCTACCGGAGCAGCAATACACTGTAGGGAGACGAAAACAAGGTACGTGGTGGCATCAACCTTTCCCTTCTTCTTAGCGTTTGCGTCGTGGTTGAGGGCAAGCACAATAGCGCCTCCCACCAGCGGTCCTCCAGTGCGAAACCACAGCCAGATGTTCATATATCGCCCTCTCTTCGCCGGCTCAGGATAGCCCAGTGCGACGGCTCCCTCACTCGCCCAGAACAGCCCGGCTGATATGCCACAAGTGACGGCACCAACGAGAACGAGCCACTCATTCCCATATCTGTTATTCGCATAGAGCCCGGCAGAGTAGACGGGGTAGCCGACCGCGCCCAGGAATAGAGTCCAGGCCAGTCCGATCCGATTGGCGATCGGGCCACCGAAGAGACAGAGAAAGCCCATGAGCCCAAAGACCAAAGAATTGGCGGCATTGACGAGGTATGGGGATTGCGCTCCTCCTGCGCCCAAAGAGCTCATCGCGTTCCAGAGACCTGGCGCGAGGAACCCCACGGCACCTATCACGAAGGCGTTGAACAGGGTCGTTCGATACCATGTTCGCTTCTGTGGGAGCGAAAGGCTGCTTGGGTCGTTGGGCAGCACGCCAGCGGCGGCCTCTCTGTCATCGCTGGCCATTGTTGATGTTCCTCTTCCAGTTCAATTCAAGACGGTCAAGGGGCGAGCGATAGTATACCGCACAAGTTGGTTCAGAGTGGAAAGGTAACAGCGCCATGCCACAGTCGAGTGGCTTTATATTCTGGCCTTTCCTAAAGATTACAGTCGCGAATTTTCAGTGCCATCTTGAGGCCATTTCTTCGCAAGATGGCACCATCGTGGAGTGCAAAGAATCCCTGCAAATTATGGATCAAACCACCGTAACTCCAGTTTGAATGTCTGCGGTTTGTGCTTCGAAGGCACGACATGGTGCTGTTAGGTAGCATCGACGGCAAGGTAATGCCGCTCACTGCCTTTTTAGTCGACACTAAGAGGACGGAGCTTGCAGGAGACGGGAGTGAGGACCATGGGTTCGCTAGCAGGAGAGA